TAATTAAACTTTTTTATACAATTAATATAGTTATGATATTAAGAATTGTATATGTAGTATAAAGTCTAAGTTTAAAACATGCATAAATATAACACATAGTTATATAATTTTATCAGACAATTTTTTTAAATCTTATCTTATTTTAATATGTATTTATTTTTATTAATTCTTTTTTATATATATATATAAATTCACACTTTTTCTTCTTACTTTTGTTATAAATTATAAACAAAAAAATTATGGGTAATTTTTTTTTTGACAAAAACTGAATTTGGTTTTTGTTAAATTATTTAGTGTTTTTTTTAATTTAATTATTATAATTAATTATTTTTTTAAATTTTTTTTTTAGCATGCTATAATAGTAACATAATGTGATATATATATTTACTGTCCTTATACTATTTGAATAAACAAATTTAGCTAATTGGATTTACGAGAGATGAGGTTATAATTATGTATTCAGATGAAACCAAAAGATCTTTTAATTTTCAAATTGTAGAATCAAGTAAAAATATAAAGATCTTAAAAGTGAGGCAGCTAACAAACTAGATATGGTACTTGAGGTTAGTGAAATGCCTAGTCAAGGAAATAACAAATATAAAGTCAAATTTGATGAACTAAAAATGTTATTAAACAAAGGTATAAATTAATTAATATAATATTTTATACTGTTTATATTTGCTAATATAACTAATTTATTTATTGTTAAAAAGATGAAATTGAGCAGAATTTAGGTGATAATAATAATCAAAATTTAGAGAAGAAGAATAGTGAAAAAAGTAATGATAAAGAAGAGGATGCTAATATGATAAAGAATGACTATGAAGAGGAAGTTGATGAAATGTATAAAAGAAAGATGAACTATGAAGCTAAAAAGAAAGTTGATGAAATATATAGAGAAGATATTAAAGAGGCAGACCGAATAGATAGAGCAGAATTTGATAGAATAGAGAATGAAGAAACTAGCATTATAGAAAAAAGGAGAAAGAAAAAAAAGTAAATGTGAAACATCAAGAAATAGTAATATATATATAATAAATAATTAAAATAAAAAATAAAAAAAATAAAAAAAAAAAATTAAATAAAAAAATTAATAAAAAAAATTAAAAAAAAATTAATTAATTAATATACAATTTTTTTTTTAGATTAATGATTAAAACTGTAAAACAAATTTTATCACCATACAGTTTTGAGTTTACAAGATTTTAACATATAGTGAAAGAATTTAATTTGAATATTGTAAATTGCAGTTTAGCACTAAGTGCAGTAGCATACAGATTCAATTTGAAAAAGATCGAAGTATTTTCTGAAAAGAGAAAAGCAGTATTAAAGAATGAAAATAGACAAATCACTCTCGAACTAGCAAATTATGAAGTAATTAAAGAAGTGGTTAATAATCTTGAATAGCCAAAATGTATACATATAAACTAGGATAATAATAATCTGACAGACACTTTAGATTTTTATGCTGAATATAAAAATTCTTCCAAAAATGGACTTTTAAATAGTAATAAGCTCAAAACAGCTAATTTATATTATGAGGTTCCTTTTTTGCAAAATGGATTACCTGTAGTAGCTCTATTTTTTGATCCCAATTCTGAAATCAAAAAAATAGAGTACTACAAGAACATAATAGATTTTCTAAAAATAGTAATCCAACAAAGAAACTCTACCTATCCAGTCCAATTTGATACCTCATTAATTCATGAAGCTCTTAAACTAAATCTATTTCAAGAACAAGAAATAACTCTATTAATAGAAGAACAGGAAATACCTCTATTAATAGAAGAAGCTGGAAATAAACAAGATGCAATCTTATTATTAAGAAGGACATCAGAATTACTATCTAGTCTTAGTGTTAATTATTTTTTAAATTATAATACTGAAGTATCTAACCAAATATTAATATTCTTAACACTTATGACAATATGTTACTAATCAATTTATAAGGTTGATATTAGTTCATATCATTCGGAGGTAACAAGATACATGTTCTTAAGATTTTTATATAAATTTGAAAAAGCCTATATTTTCTTAAAGAGATGGGTTTTAAACTTTGCTACTAGATCTAAAGGCATGAAATCAGCAATGCAAGTGCATTTACTTTTAATCGGTAAAACCTCAATTGAACAACTCTTTGAAATAAACTCAATAAAATCTGATCTGTTCAATATTAAACATATAGCTAATGAAAAAGAAAAAAAAAGAAAAAGAAGTATAGAATCAGACAAAATTTTAATAAACATTCTGGCAAAATTTTATTAAGAAAACTTAACATATTTACTATAGCAGGCCCAAGATTAATGCAATTATTTAAAAAATTAAATAACAATTGAACTACTTTAAACTTAGTCAATAATGTAATGATAACTTGGCTTGAGAACTTTTGCAAGAAAGAATGGACAGCTTTTATTAACTAAATCAAAGGTAATTTTATTAATATTAATATCCTATTAATATACTGTATAATAAATAAAATACTAATAATAATTTTT